CAGACCCTGATTACTGCACTTAGTGTGTTTGGTGGCACCATGATCACATTCATGTGCGGGTGTACCATGGCGTTTTTGTATCGACGTGCGAGATCAAATGAGGTAATGCTCAAAGAGTACAGTCGAATTTGCTACCGATTAAAAATCAACTTTGTTCAACTTTGAAAACGATATTTTTCAGTTTCAACTAAATTGCTGAAATAAGAAAGTATACTCAAAGAAGTGAACAAACTATTTTTTTGTATAGAACGACTGGGCATTTCGATCGCCAAATCATTGGTGACCGCGAACTGTTCTCAGTTGAACATCTTGACTTTCCGTCTGTTTCAATGACAGGATAACATGGATGGGAAAGAGATCAATGTAATCTGCACAACCTACAAAGATTTGGCTGAGGGGATACCGAAACATGAGAATGCTGATACGAACGGTTCAGCACCTTCAGTGGTAAATGTTGTCGCTCCCCTGGAAGATGTTGAAAAGAGAAATACGAGTATGCACCTAAAAAGAAAATACCACGCACAGGACGACGGGAATGCTGACTCGATACTGAGAGCATCGTCAGAGGGAAGCAAGATTCCCACTCCACCAGATGTCGGAGATAAACATTTGAGAAATCTCATCTTTGAAAAACACGACCATGCAGAAAAGCTCTTAAACTCGCGAGGTGGTCATCTAAATGCCGCATATAGCTGTAGCGATGTCAACTTGAATCTGCATCAAGACAGTGGGAGCGATCAGATGCTAACATCTCTTAACATTAAGCTAGAAGAGCGCGAAAAAGGTGTAGATGATCTCCAGGTGCTCGACGAGGTTCTTGGCGAAGGGGAATATGGAATCGTTTACAAAGGTCGCTATGGTGGAAAGAACGGAAGTATTACTGATGTTGCAGTAAAGAAGTTGAAAGGTGTGCATAGGAAATGCTAGTCTTCTGTTAGCACAGATCTTTTTTTAAATTAATCGCTTTTTCTGAAGTCTGGAGGGATCAGCTGTAAGTACTAATTACGATTACACAAATATTTTGAGACCATTCTACGTCATCCAACTGCAATCGGCATTCTCTAAGGAAAATGAGGGAGTGTAACTCATACTTAATATCTGTAGTAAGGCGATTTCGACTGACTTAGTGCCAAGAAGACTGTTTTTTTTATTTTGCATTTTTTGTTTTCGTTGCATGCAAGGTACAATATTATTTCAACATAACGTATTAACTAACCAAGGGGTTATTACCTCCGTTGATTTTTTTTTATTTAGATAATGCAGGCACACTTGCGAAAGCAGCGTTACTAAATGAGATAAGGACACTGAAACAAGCTGGCCGACATCCGAACATTGTCAATCTAATCGGAACGTGGACACACGGAGGTATGCGGTTCAGTTGTACCATCCAAATGGCATAGAACGTCAACTAGTCTCAGTCTTACCAATCTGCGCCAAAGAAACCAGCAGTGGTCATAATTTTTTTTACTTAAATTAACTATGCGTCACCCACAATGCTATTGTCTTTCGCGACATGTACTTGCAGTGCCCCTGATTTAATCAGCGAGCGGCATAATAATTTGCATATCTTGAACTGGTCGGCTGTGATTGGACAGCACATTAAGCTTTGAGATTACATGAGTCTATTTTACAGATTTCAGCTGCTGTCAATCAAACGGTTGCTGACATAAAGTGAACAATAGCAATAATTTACAATTGTCACGCTCTTAATTAAGCGTTTGGCAAATTCTTTTGCAGCGAATTCGTATTTTACTCAATATAGACTGATAGACTCCCGTTGGTCAAAATGTTATCGGAATTATAGAAATTAGTATCATGACAATAGAAAATGTAGAAAATAATATCATGAAGAATAGGCGGTTTAAAAAGCGCAACTTGTAATCAGGCGGTCTTCGAGTGCGAAAGGCTTGCGGTTGTGGACTGAAAACAAAAAACAGGGACCGCGCAGGGGGTGGGGCTGGGGGGGCTGTAGCCCCCCACTTTTCTGGCTGATTAAATCACTACTTTTTTTTACTAAGAAGCTAGTCTATTCATTTCAATCTGGCCAAACGTGAAGGCCAGTTTTTTACTCATTGTTTTATAAGAATTAAAAATTAACTTCACTTTTGGCAGTTTTAGATCCATTTCTAGCCATTTCAGAAGACTTCAATTTCAAATCTTCCCGGGGGAGAAGGCCCCCGAATCCCCCTAGTTGGCTCACGCTAACGCGTTTGCATTAGCCCTCCCACTTGAAAATCCGCTCCGCGGGCCCTGAAAAAACGCCCGATCAAGGTTACAAAATTAAAGGCGGTGCTCAGAAAGCCAGCTAACCTGTGAAGAGGAACTGATAGAAGCAAGCCTTGGGCCTTCTCTGAAGGAGCGTTTAACAGTAACAGGCGGTGGATGTCGCGTCGACGCTCCAGTCAGCTTGAAGCTGCTTCTTGGCAAGTCGCTTTTCTTCGTAGATGAACAAGGCCGCAAAACATCTCCCCGCCCAGTAGAGAAAATTCAGATCAAGTTTACGAAGAGTTATTTCGCCTGACGCATCCAGTGAGCCAAATGCTGCTTTTATGAAAACGGCTTCTTTAGAAACCACCAAATGGAATAAAAGTTTATGAGCAACAGTGGCACTCACTCATAGCGACACAGTCACGTATTGATAAGTCGAGAGAGCTTTACCAGATAACAAATTTATTTCATTTTTACAAATATATAATTGCGGCTCCCATGATGACACTGTGTCTGTGAACCTACAGAAAAAAAGACATCGGTTTTAATACTTAAACAGTCTAATTGTTTTTCTCAGAATAACTTTTTCTGATGTTGCAGGCAGATTGGTCAGAAATTAGACCTAAGTGAATAATTACTAACATCACGCCGCAACTTCGGGCTCAATTACAGACTCGAGAGAGCAGCGGAGATGGCCGGAATCGCGCCCACGATAGCCGCAACTAGTATTATCGTTCATTTTGCATGAAACACATTTTTTACGAATACTTAACAAAAATTGTCATGTACCGGTAGTATGGTTCTCCAGATTGAGAACCGGGTGCAAAAGTAAATTTCATTTGGGTGAAAAGTTTTTGGTTTCAGTGCAAACGGCTATTTTACAGTCTGATGAATTTCTCCTTAAAAATCTCTAATTTTTTTTATATTATGATGTCGTAAACGAGTCGTTTATGACATCCTAACTTTGCAATATCGTAAACTGCCTTTTCATGCAGCTCGACGGTAAGCCTTCGTCGAGTTCCCATCAATTGGGAGTAACAGATTTGTCCCTTATTTAACAAATGGTAAACACCACAGCGTACACTATTGAGTTATGGACGCACGCGGGAGGTTGCTAAGCACGAAAGAAGCGTAAGAGTCGCTCGAGGCGATAGCCGAGAGCGACTCTAGCTTATTGAGTGCTTAGCAAACCTCCCAAGTGCATCCATAACTCAATAGTGTACGCTGTGGTGTTTACCATTTGTTTTATAACATAACATAGCATTGTAGCTAAAGAGTTCCCTTTTATTTAACAAATCTTACGTGACCAGAAAAAACAAGCGCGCGCGGAAAAATAGTCTTTGAATTTGCTCACGTCAGCAGCGTACACCCATGGGCAAATAGTGGACGCTAAATTGACCAATCAGAGCGCGCGCTTTACTTTGGTTATGTTATAAAGTCAACTTTTCTCTCCTTAGAAACAACTCTTGTTGTCACTGAATTGGTCCGAGGTGGGAGCCTTGAAAGTCTTTTGAGGAGCAAGGACGACGGAAGTAGCGAATATGCGAATGTGTGCTGCAAACTGAATGACCGACAGCTGTTGAACATTGCACTGCAAGTGGCCTTCGGAATGCAACATTTAGAAGAGCGGAAGGTTGGCAAATCACAAAAGATGTTTCCCAACGATAACTCCTGACGAAAATTAGACTTAACGTTTAATTTTCTTATAATATCTGAGATAGAAAATCGGAATTGTAACTTTCTTTTTCAGTGCATTCACTGCGACCTTGCGGCGAGAAATGTCTTCATTAATCCAAACATGGTGGCAAAAGTTGGAGACTTTGGATTAGCAAGGAACATCTCAGACGATGGATTATATATCAAAACCTCATGTGTAAGTCCTGGATCACCAATTATTGATCAAACTTGCTTCTTGTATTAAAAGCCGCAGGAAATTTTCATTTCTGTTTAAAGACGATCGCTCATTTTTCTCAAGGGCTACATAAGCTCACCTCATAACAACCCTAAATTAAAGTAAATATATTTACCTATCATAAACCACTTGTTTCTGTCCTCACTCTTTCAAACAGCAAAAAAAATAGATACATATACGTATCACATTAGAGGAGTAGAACCTTATCGTGGCCCAAAGTTAATTCAGTTCTTTCTAAGCTAGGCGAACATTCGTTCTTATATTTATCCAACAAAAACGTCTCTAGATGTTCATGTTCATAATCTAATATCCTAAAACTAATATTCGATAAAAGGAATGAAAACTCCTTTGGTTAGCATTTTAACTTGTAGGCTTGTTCATCACTTAATGATACAGACTCGCTGTTTTTCTATATATCAACAGGGTAAAGTTCCATGGAGATGGTCGTCTTTAGAATCTCTTCGAGATCGAGTTTACACATCCCAAAGCGATGTGTAAGTATTAAAATTATTTTAATATTTAATATAAAATATTAAAAATATTAAATATTAAATTATTATTATTATTTATTAAATAATAATTATCATTAAGTATATAAAAAGGAACAAAATATGGCTGACGAGGCGTTAGGAGGGTTCATGCACCACCCGACTCATACTTTTAATCAAGATCGAGGCACTAAAGCTGCTGAGATTTTCGGGAGCTGAGAAAACTTTTAGCGAGCGGTTGCTCCTCCCCTATTCCCTCTTTTTTTTAATCCCCACGATCTTAATAGTGTCTCAAGCTGGGTCAGATCGCATGGTCTTCAAACATGTATTGTTTGGCGCCAAACCCTAATGATTCTGACAGTAGTATGTTTTCAACTTATAACTGAATGGTTTGGAATCTGGGAATTCCTACAAGTTACATTTATGAAATTAATCTTTATGATGAAATTTCACTTGCTATATTCTTATACTAATTTAAATTTTTTTTTTTCACGGAAAACAATGGATACCCTTAACTCAACGCGACTGTAAAAAATTCGAAATAACCACAACATTTGGCTAAAATAAAAGCTTCGAAACTTCTTAAAATTCCAAACGAAAGGGTAACAAATTTGTGTGAATGAAAGCCTAAAAACCAACAAAAGTACGCGAAAAATGTCTACGTCAGTTTTCAAAATCAAGTTCAGAGTTCTTTGACGTGATTGGCTAATTTGTAAAATAACGCGCGCCCCACGTGAATACAGAAAGGATACAAAGGGGGCGGAGAAAGGGGAAAATTGTAATTTGAAATTTCAAAACGAAAGGTATTTTCTACAGCAATCACCAATAATTTAATATATATTATTTTCTTGCCGATTTTCAGTTGGTCGTTCGGCATACTGCTTTGGGAAATAGCAACTTATGGTAAGTCTCTCAATGGTTGATGATTTACATGCCTTAGGAGAGCCAACTTAAAATGCAACGGCTAGGTACTCCTGAGGTAAATCAGAGCGTTCTGATTGGTTCTTACTCGGTCAGCACTGTGCCATACGGACCGTTGTCACGAACGGTCATAAGCTGCGTATTTTTCTTCGCGAGAGCAGGAAAATATGAAATGAACAAGTCCGAGTGCCATATAATAAACTACTTACTAGCCTCGCTGGCTCGAGCCGTACTGGGGATAATAATTATATCGCTGGCATCGTCTGTGAACAATATGAAGCGAATCCTGTGGTCTGATTGGCTACCCGAGTGGGTAAGATGGGCCCATCATCCCCATA